CAGTGGCAGTAATCAGCACTCTGTCTCTCCCTGTCTTCTGACTGAGACTGGATGCCATTCTGGAAGATAAGTTTCAGTAAAGGCACAAGCTGTGCTTCAGTCAAACTGACAAGATTAGGGCTTTAATAAAAAAAAATGTGCATAAAACCTGAATTGCCAGTACTATACAGGATGTTGGACTAGGTGATGTGATCATAAACTGCACCATCATTTAGTTTTTGCTGTTCTCTTTCAAGTTAAATGTATCTGCTCTGGAAGACTCAGTTTCTACAACGTGGAAGTCCAGCTAACCCAGCCGAGAACCTGCTTCAGGCTCTGTGCGACAGGCAGTGGAGCAAGAGTGTCTGTGGCTACAGCAGTTCTGTCTCCCCCTACGTCATGCACTGCTTTTCCAGCCTGTATATTTTTATTTGTATATGCATCTATGCTTTTAGCTCTTCCTTATCGTGCTATGGAGTCCTCTCCAGCTCTGTAACCCTACCCCCTGCCAAACTGTCCAAAAAACATACTTCTCTTCATGGAGGGAAAATGAAACAGGAAGAAGCAGTTTCAAATAAGGCTCAGTGGCACAAAGACACAGATTATGAATGTCAGGCACCAGAAAATGGTGTATTCTGTGCGCAAAAACATTGCATTTCATGGCCCTTAGGGAAAATGCCAAACTTACAAAGCTGCAGAATGGTGGATCTGCGACACCCTGGAGAGAGAAGCAAGACATAGTAACTGGTACTTCTGGCACTAAGATGGCACTAGCAGTTTATGCTCTTTTCATGTTTTTAATTCAGTTGCACAACCACAGAAGTTAACAAATGCATTGAATGGAATGTGCTGTGTTATTGTGAAACGAAAACTCATGCTGAAGATGACAGAACTGCTGCAAGTGAATACAACGTCCTCAGAATAATGACTCTGTTCTCACAGAATGTTTTCTCTTTATGTGCATTATGGGTATGGTTTTATTTTATTTTTGCGAGAAAACAAGTATGTCCTTTCCTTACCATTCCTTAAGTAGGACCCCAAGCTCATTTATTTTTTATGATTGTTCCTAAAATGGACACCTGTGGATCAAATGTAATGCGGACTTGAAATTTTGAGGAAGCAAATTTATAGAAAACCTAAGCATAAGGGATGTGCGTCCATAATTTATTAGTGTTCAAGTGGATGCTGATTTTTAAAACACAAGCTTTCTAATGCAGTTTTTACAGCCAAGACACAGCAATAAACTGAAATTGTTCAGCAATAGCTGTGAGAATGTTCAAGCTGGGGAACAGGCAAAAATTTCTGAAACTTCCTAGGAGTAAAAAAGTACATTTAAGCTGTAACTTCAGCCATATTGTTAAATACCTGTTCAGGTGAGGCTTATGCAAGCTATATGTACCTTTATCAAAGTAAGTTTCTTTCTATTTAATAAGATGGAGTGTTCAAGTTAGTCCTGTTTAGAGTAATTTTAGTCTTTATAATCATATCCTGTTTCCATTTAAATTGATTAAATGAGTACAGTAGAACAGGACTAGGAGTTTATTATATTAAAAATTCACTCAGTATAAATTCTCAGCATTTAGGAAAAGCTTTTCATTTGCAAGGAACTACATGCACACATTAAGAATTTTAGTAATCTAGTAACAGAGCATTCCATTTATTAACGCATTCCAGCCAATACAATTTTAGGCAGCCTGTACAATTCCCTCCGTTAACACACCTGTGTTTCGGAAGCATGCCAGCATGGCTCCTCGGCAGCAGATGTAATTGCCCATGAAGCATTTTTGGGGTCCTGCAGCCAGGGAGGCTGTGAGGTGGCCAGGGGTGGCCAAGGACATGGTGAGGACCCCCTGGTGTGCTCAGGGCTGCCTGCACCCTGGCTATCAGTTCCTAATGCTGCTGTGAGGGGACACCACAAGCCAGTACATTGGGAAGCTTGGTTTCCTTCAAGCACCTTAAATTGCCCATAGAGATTTAGACTGTGCCGTTTTCCACAAATGGTGGATGTCATCAGTAGCAGTGAGGCTGTATATGAGAGAGGAGAGAAGAAGAAGGTGGGGGCAGCAAAAGGAGAAAAGAGGAGGAAAGAATATCGGAGGTGGAAGACAAGGAAGTGGTACAGGAAAAGAAGATATAAGAAAAGAGGTAGAGGTAAAAGGGATGAAGTTGATCGAGAAGTCTGTTATGACTATTATGCAATGTGAATGACATCAAATGGCTGTGGTAACATTCTTCTAAGGATGAGAAATCAGTAAATATGATTGACCTCCTAGTGATGACCACAGTCTTAATTGCACATTTGGGATTTATTATATATTTATTATAAAAAAGAAAACATATTTTGTTTTTGCTGGCGTGGTACAATATTCCTTTATCTTACTTTTCCAGCTTTTCAAATCCACCTTTCCCTCTGTCCTTTCTAAACTTGAGGAGACAGTTATATATACTACTAAGTCAATATAATGAATAATAGTTTATCTTTAAATAAAAGACTAAATTGAACCTTTTAAAACCTTCCTGTTTAATTTTCATAAATAGCAAGTTCAAGATGACAGTTGTCCAATGCCAAATATATACCCTTAAAATCCATTCTATGCCAAAAATTTAAGATTAAAATTTAGGCCAGGCAATTAGGCATATTCTGTATTCCCTTCCCCATTTAATATGTAAAAATTTTTCCTTTTAGAAAAGTAAAGTAAATGGAGAGTACAGTTACTAGGTCTCTGCATAAATACAGGGGAAGCAGGTAGATAGAAAAGAAGCCTTTTATGCAGGAAAAATGTAAAAACAGTTGTCCTGGTTTCGGCTGGGATGGAGTTAATTTTCCTCCCAGTAGCTGGCACAGTGCTGTGTTTTGGATTAGAGTAATGTTGATAACACACTTTAGTTGTTGCTAAGCAGTGCTTACCCTAAGTCAAGAACTTTTCAGCTTCCCCTGCTCTGCCAGGGGCACAGCCAGAACAGCTGACCGCAGCTGGCCAAAGAGCTATGTCAGACGATATGACATGCTCAGTGTAGAAACTGGGGGGGTTGGCCAGGGGACAGCGATCGCTGCTTGGGGATGGGATGGGCATTGGTCAGCGGGTGGTAAGCAATTTCATCACTTGTTTTTCCTGTTTTTTTTTTAATATCTTTCTCTCTTGTCGTTTTCATTTTTCATTATTATTATTATTATTATTATTATTATTATTACTACTGCTGCTACTCCTCCTCCTCACCCTCCTCCTCAATTATTAAACTGTTCTTATCTCAACCCATGGGTTTTACTTCTTTTTTTTCCTGATTCTCTCCCCCATCCCACTGGCGTGGGAGAATGAGTGAGCAGCTGTGTGGTGCTTGGTTGCTGACTGGGGCTAAACCGCATCCCCAGTTCTGTTCCTTTATGGAATAGATAACTGGAATAATCAGAACTGTGTTAAAAGCAGAGGCCCCACACAGGGCAGGTGAAGAATTGGAGTTCCATGGCCAAGTGCGTTTCTTTGGGTCTGACTACAAGTAGAGGAGAGTGACTGTTGCTTGGTGAATTCTCTTGTCTGTTTGAGAGGAAGCATAATAAAGGCATCAAAGAAATACCCAGAAGCAGGCAGGGAAGTGCTTACAGCTGACTGGGAGAAAAACTAAGATTAGATACAGAGTTTGTGAGCAGCAAATAAGTCAGAAAGTTTACTTACAAGTACTAAAAGAAACATATTACCCCTTTCTGCTTGATTCCTGCTACACTAAGTGAAGCCCAACTTGTGATACATATTTTTAAATAAGTAGGATTTCATAAAAGTACCTTACTCTTCCACCAAATTACTTTTCTATTAGAAATAGCTCTATAGATCATAAGCCTTAGATAGCTGCTTATGTTAAGAGTCAAAAATAACAAAATTAGGGTTGCAAAGTGTGATGTGTATTTCCTAGACAGAGCAAAGATAAATATCAGAATTTGAGTATATTAAAAATATATTTTGTTATAAGATCAAATTATTTTTATTTCCTTCTTTTACTTGCATTTTAGGTGTTATCTGATGAGCCCTTTTATTAGGTGACTCATAGTGTTTATTCTTTACAAGACTTTACAGTTCAGTATTGCTGTCCAAATGTTTTCTGTTGAATATGTTTTCTGTTGGGTTATATTGTTGTAAACACTTGTATATTCTTATTTAACAAAAGCAGTTATAATGCAGAGGAAGTGCAAACATAGGACTTATTCTGATCTGTATGTAAATTGCTAAAGAAATACAGATATTAAAACAAGCGATGAAATTGATATTATTCAACTGTATGCTCTACCTGTGGGCACTGGTATGTGTTTCTTGATGACTGTTGGTGCACCATGAACTGTTTATGTAGAATAATAGGTGGGTGAGCTGGGGTGGGTGTGTGCTACAGCTACAGGTATCTGCCCGGGATGCACAAACGCACAGGACATGCAGCTTTATCGTAGTTGGCTTCTGCATAAGCAGCAGCCCAGGTGTATTAGCATTATCTTCCACTGGGGCTAGCTGAGTTAGTACAGGGCTGGCCCAGAAATTCATACTCCTGTGGCTTCCAGGCTCGTGGTAGCCAACAGCTAGATTAAAATTAGCAGTTAGCCTGGCCTGTGGGACAAGCACACCTCATGACTGCTGCATGCCAATTCCAGTGTGGAAACACGAGAACTGCATTGCCAATGCCCACATCTTTGGCTGAAAGAGACTCTGTGTCTTTTCCGTATGTTTTGTGAAGTAAAGTGGAAAGCACTTGCCCCTCATTTCACCTTTTGAAGGCACGTGAACGATGCGTGCAGGGCAACATCGTGTTCGCAGGGTAAAAGAGAGCTGTGTCAGCTTCCTCCCCGGGTGCTCCTCATACACTGTGGTGCCTGCTTGCCAGCATTCTGCTCTTCTACTCCTGGCCTTTCCCGAGCAGGATTCCCTGCTTCAGAATGTGAAATGAATTTTCATTCACGTTTCTGCTGGGTTGACAAGATAAAATAGTGAATTGCTACAGCTAAATCAAGCTGAAAGTTTATTAAAGTATTTGCATGAAATTCTCACCAGTACAGCAAGTAAATCCACAAAAAAACCAAACATGCTGGTTCAGCTACAATAAGGATTTCTACAGAATAATGGCATACCAGCTTTTTTTAGTTCTTATAAAACCACTTATCAGTCTTCCTGTGGATTCCTTTTATTTTCTCTGTACTAGCCTTGGTTATTCAGAAATTATTACATCATAGTAATGAATAATGTCTTACACAAGCATCTGACATTTCTTTTCTGCAGTCATTGGCTTTAGCCTATTTTGTTGCAGGAAGCAGGCCAAAGAGCTGATCCTGTAGTCTGTCCACAGGCGAAAAGGAACTAGCATTGCGTGCAGTAGAAAAAGTGTATGAATTTCCTTGTCACAGATATTTGTAGACCTTGATTTCTGCATTCAGCCAAGCTGTTCGACAGGAAACTTGTCTAGGACTGGTTGCATAATGTTCAAGGTTGAAACAAAGAGGCTTCCTTCACAGAACTGCTGTAGGTGAAAAGAACCTACACTTACCAGCCCGTCCCCATTTAATCTCTAATCCTGATTAACAGCTGACTCTGTGATGCTCATTTATTGCGATAGTAAGTGCTATCAGTCATATTATAGCTTTTTCAATTAATTTAATAATTTCCCATAGGAATACACGTATGGCAATTCATCTCTCAGAAAGTTGGCAGCTTTTCTAAAATGTTTCAATTAAACACATTCTGAACCCTTTGATGTTGCTCTGAATTTTAATTATTTTCCATTGCAGAATACTGGTTTAAAGATGACCTGAATATATGTTAAAAACTAACTATGTGTGTGGTTGCATATAGCAAGGGTGAAAGGTTTGTTCCTTGTGTATTGGTGATGGGCCTGCTCATTATGAATGGTTTGTTCCTGGAAGAACTTAGACCTTAGAGGCCAGATCAGGAGAAATACTGGGCACTCTGACTGCAGACATTTTGTATGTCACAGGAAAAGCAAACCAGAAGAAAATATGGCATGACATTTGCACATACTCTGATTGGGCCATGCATTCTTAAATTGTGAATTGTGAAACACATCGTAACAGGGAAAAAAAAAAAAATCATCCTATTAACTTTTCCCCTCCTAATCTCAAATGCAATCCATGCAATTTATCTGAAGGTTGCGGGGACTCCTTACAATATGGGATATATTTAGAAGTTCTAAACTTTTTCACCAGACGTTTTGCTTTTTTTGGAAAAAGTAATACCGGCTTTTCCTACTTTTCCCTTTTTCTTATCCATCTGTCTTACATTCTCATACTACCTGAACACACTTCCCCATCTTCCTTTCCCCGTCAGAATTGTTGTTCCACATTTTCTTCCTGAATCATGTGTCTAACCACTATGTATTTTTTTCAAAATCCTTGCCTGTCTGGTCTCCAGTTCCAAAGATCCCCGATTTTTCCTCTCTTCCTCCTCTAAAACAGAAGAAATTTTCAATCAAAGTGGAAACTCTGACCTCTCTCTTCAGATCTTCTGAGACCCTTGAGCAGCACCTGGAAATAAAGCAAAGGATCAACCAACCTGGAGTCTTTTGCCTGCCAGCCACCAGCCAGCAGTTCATTGACGACTGTAAATAACTGCTGGTCAGGCTATTGAAGACTGAAAATTATTAATTCTGAAAAGTAAAGTGCATTTAATTTTGAAAATCTTAAATTCAGGTTTCCAGTGCAAATTGGGAAAAACTACAGAAATAAACCTTCAAATACCTGGCCACACCATTCTCCTGCAGTATTTCTGTACAGCAGGTGCTTTCTGACAGACTCCGAGATCACCCGCTTTCTCTCCTGAGCAGGGCCACTGCCTCCCGTTTCAGCCATTTCCGATCACTCTCTCTGTTCTGCATCAATGCTGTGAGGAAATGGCCTGCTGTGAGCAGGAGAAAGAGCCTCTGCGCTCCTATGACTGTGTGTTGAGCGATATATTCTGCCCTTCTTATCCCACACATGTATGCGCTTCCTTTCCAGGTTAATGTCTCTGCAGTGATCCTCTTCAGCGGTGAAAACGAACCTCTCTCGGAGCATGAGCAATGAATGGCTTTCATCTTCCAACCTGCTGCGACTTGTGGGTACACTGGTGATGGGAATAGATTCAGAAGCAACACTAAAAGCAGCAGAACTTCAAGCCGATGATTTCATGAGGGTTGCAAGAAGGGTGAGTAAACTACTGCCCCTGTCACTCGTAGCACTACCCAGTACAGTGTGTAAGGCCTTGTGTCACATAAACAGGCTGCTTCTGCCATCAGACCAGAACTGTGTTCCCCCTGTGAACAGAACATTGTTTACCAAGTTATGTAGGCAAGAGAGAAATGTATTCCCAGAACATACAATCCTAGGAACACAGTGTCGTATAACACAGTGTTACACTGAGACATTCTGAACCTGAGTTTCAGAGAAGCTGAGGTCAGAAGTCAGATAGCGTTTCTGAAAAACTCCGTCCTTATCATTTCTCCTTTGCCAGGCAAGGAGAAACCTTTACCATAATCTGGGTCACATTGCTTAAGGTCATTCTGTTATTTAAGTAATGAATAAGAAGACGTGCAAATCCTTTCTAACACTGAAGCAAGTGTTAATTTTATGTTTTATTGGTCTGTTTTTCAAAACTATGTGCCAGTACTGCTGATTTGCTCCTCTTTTTCCAAGCCAAATGCATTTACTGCTGAACACCAATGGATGATGAAGACTGCACTCAGAGCGCGGCACGGAAGATGATCGCCGGTAATTCAACCATTTGCTTCTGCAATACCGTTAGGCAATTGGCTGTTGACATACCCTTTCTGCTGGTAACCCAGTTCAGGTAAGCAAGCGTCGTGCTGTGTAAAGACCACATTCCAATAGAGCTGTAGGATAAACGAGGAAGCTGAACTGGTTTCTGCTCAGATCTCAGCAAGTTCTCATTTTTTTATCCTTCAGTGTTTACTCTCTGTCGTATCTTATTAGTTTCAATTATTTTTAATAAACACATTTTCTCCTCTAGCTTCTTTCTTAGCATTAGGGGACAGAGCTAGGACCTCAATTCAGGGCAAAATAGAATAAAAGCAAGCTTTCTTTATGATAGTGTAACCTGCTTGGCCTTCTTACAGTGAGAAAGCAAGATATAGAAAGGAAATGTCAATAGACAGTTATGTTGATCTGACCCTTTGTCTACCTCTTAAGAACCTGGCTGCAAAAGGAGATCACTCAGGTCTTGGTGAGTTCCAGTGGGTGGTTCCACTTGGGCCTTTGTGAGGACAGTGGGAAAAGCAGCTTAAAAACACTCGATTGCACTCTGCAGCATTAATTTCTGTCATTACTCCAGCAGAGTAGACACTGTCAAAGCTACACACCCCAGTATGTGTTCAGTACTGGGAGGTAGCCTGAAACTAGCCAACCAGACCAATGATCTTCGTGAGTTACCTTCGCATGAGCCCTAGGCTTCCCAGATAAGGCATGTCACAGGCCATGGTGGCTGGACAGTGCAATGTGGTGACATCAGGAACAGTGACCTGGCCCACAAAAAGGTGACAGTAAATGATGGGGCTGAGACTGGGTAGAACAAGCCTCAGACACAGGCTCTTTAAATGAGCACAGGAAATCTCCACTTCTGACTTTTTTCTGCCAGTGTACCATTCCCGGTGTTACTTTTGAACAACTCTGTGGCCATACAGTGAGGCAGTTCAGGAACTAGGCCAACAAAGCATAAACCAGCAAAAAGAAACACAGAGTATTATTCAGTGAGGTCAAAGGGCCCTGTTCAGGTTCACTATTTGCCCCTTCCCTCTTGAATCTGTGTGCCCAAGAACAAGAATCAAAAGACAGAAACTTCTGCCAACACTGCAGTTTATCTCCTCAGCCTCAGTTTAACTGAGCTGAAATGCCAATTCCACATTTGTCGAGGCAGAATCTGTAAAAACAGTCTGAAAAGTATGTAATGGCATCTAAAGAGAAATTAAAATGGGTCTTTGATCAGATTAAAAACAGTGGGTTTATCAGCACAGAGTAACTTAGCTTTGGGAGCTTTTGCCCTACAGACAGGTATGCCTAGCGACCTTATTGCTATAAATTAGAAGGAATCCTTGAAAGAACATGTTCCTCTTTAGAAGGAATATTTGAATTTTCAGCTATGTTAGTATAAACTCGGCTGCAGACAGGGTATAAATTTGATCTTTACGTTTAATCCTAACCTAGTATTAAATATGAATCACAACTAATGGGTGCATCCCAGAGTAAGGGCATATACATTCTCTACACGTATATCTACAAATGCGATGAGTATCACAAGTAACAAACTCCAGATTATAAATACCTCACCTGCAGACAAGTGCTGCGTGGCTAAAGTCTTGCGCGGCTGTGTTTGAGTCAAGCAAGAACTCTCCTTGCAGCTCCACATGCTCGCTCTCCTCCTGCGCTGCCTCCCTTTTGCCTGTCCACGGCTTGGGCTGCTGCTCGCGTTGGCCTCCCCCACCGCACAGTGCGCCATTACGCGGGGGTTGCGCTGTGCTTCACTGCTGCCTGTGGAGAGCTTTGACAAAGCTGAGCAAGAATAAGGTGCCAGGAAGATTTTCTCGCTTTGGAAATATTTTTAGTTCCCTTGCTACCTATCTTAAAGAGCTGACATTGCCTGAACTCTTTAACTTATTTTCTGCCTGAGCCCATTCCCAGAACTCAGATGCTGTAGGCTAGACTAAGAGTTGGGATGAGGTAATGGATGGAGTGAGGTGGAGTTGTTCAGCTCTCTTCCTGTTGCAAAGAGCAAGTTAGTTATTTCTGTCAGGAGGACACTTGAGATTCCCTGTGCTGTGATGAGAACTCCCTCTTTTCCTGGTATTTTTAATATAAGCTTTGATGTTTTAGAGAAAGTGCTTTCATGTAAGGAATCTGAGGGAGCTCTCATGACCCTCAGTCAGGACAGCATAAGCTTATTACAGGGTATGTTTCACTCTTAATTTGCAGCAAGACAAAATGACCTTTAATTCCTGTCTTCTTCCATTCAAATATAGGATATGAGCAGACTAACCAGAAAAGTTTCCTTCCCCATTTCATGCACACCATTGGCACATGCAATAGAAAAAAAAGGTAGCTGGCTATTTAAGGTGATCTATGAATCATTATTTAGGAACAAGAGCTGCTTCAGAACTGAGAATCTGGCTTTTATTTTTACCTTTTGGGATAGAAACATCTATTTTACTATGTTTCTAATTAAACAGTAATGAAAATAGGTACACACTATTAGAAATGTGCATTTTGTACATTTGTACATAAATCTGTGTACAGTGTATTGTATGAACATACGTGTAGTGTGGACGTGCAGTACGTACATATGTACAATACCTACATAAAGTGGACAACTGTACATAAAACAGACAATAGGAGTTAAGAAAGATACCTTCTATAAAAAAAAAAAACAGGAGAGAAATGAATCTGAACATTTATGATTCCTGAGTTCAGATTCAATTAATTTTAATGCTTACAAGTTTTGCTCTCACTTGCTGTTTAATTCATTTTTCGGCTTCTGTCCTTGAGCACTGACTTCTATAAATAAAAGCCTTCATTAAGTTCTCCTTCTGGCTCCAAGATATTTCTAATCCTTCATTCACACAGAGCCATCCAGCTACAAATATGTGCTGATTTCTATTTATCTCACTTGTTGGTGACATATTTCTATTAATTTTAATCAGTGCATTCCATCCTAACTTGTCTTCTGTGCAGATGCTTATTCACCAGTTACACCCTCAAACTCTTTACAATAACTAATGAAGTATGAGCTCATCAAAACACACAAGCCCCATTCCTTGCAGAGGACATAGGTTTATTTAGTTTAAATTAGAATTTGGATAGAATTGGCAATAAAGTAAATGTTAGAGGTTTAATTTCTGACATGTATTGCTTGGTTTACACAGTACTCAAGCATTTTTAATCATGAGAGAGGAGAAGTGGACTCTTTCAAAAATTCTTGACTCTGTTAAAGCTTGTTTATATACAAACACTGCATCCATATAGCTAAATTAATTTAGATGTGCTTTAATTACATTAATGCCTACTGCTTGGAACAACGTCCATATACCATACTGATAGTATTTTTAAACAGTTTTGTTGAAGTTGGTAAAAAAAAAAGGTAAAGGAATCACTAAGGCCATGTGTGCTTCAGATTAGTTTACCAGTTACATCAGTGTAGTTGCATATTTGATTTGGTTGTCTTGATTTCCTTCCCAAGTGATATAAATGAAGCTGAGGAAAGATCGTTCTCTCATATAACAAGAACATCTGCACAACTTGGAGAATTACAGTGGTGTAGCTCCATTGGTTAACACTTACACTCCAAATATATGTTTCATAGGACTGTAAATCTTTTTTTTTAAGGCAAAGGTGGAAAAAAATTGCATCTGCCACAGAATACAATTCCTTTGATGATTAAAAATGGATCTGCTAGTGTAATTTTGCTCAAAACTGTTGAAAAGGCAATCTTACTCCAGCAGACTCCTGGCTGTTGCGTGTATGTAGCACTACGCCACAGACCTCTCGTAGTTGCCTCAGAATGGCCATATCAGACTCATCTTTGCCAGCTTCTTTCCACAGCTGTGCTCCAAGAGCAAGGCCTATGGCTACCCTCCCTTCTGAACTGTTCAAGCAATGTCCTTTCTCTTTCACTGGGATTACTGTTGTATTTGGGAAGTCATCGTCACCTCCACATACAACACCTAGCACCCACGCTGAGAGACAACTCAGCACCATCACTGAGCCGTGACAGACTCAAAACCAACCAGAGATGATACGCTGAGTGCTCATGAACTTCAGGCTTTGTCCACCCCAATCCTAACCAGGCCAGGGAGGAAGACTCAGGACAAAAGCACCTATGCAAAGTCCTTTTTGAGAAGCATACGGAATGCTGTGACCAATCATGCCATCTCTGCACATGTTTCTGCTGGAACAGCGCCAGGCTCTGCAATGGCTTACGAGGGGGCACGTGCAATAGCAGGCACTCTGAACCTGGTAGGCCGCCCAGCTGAACGTTACAGCTGGGCCTTGCATCACTTCTCTTCCATCACTGAGGAATGGTCTCAGGCAGGGAGGTGAGCTCTGGTATCATCGGCCTTTCAGGTTGCTACAACTTTTTGCAAGCTACTGCCTTTCTGAGATGCCAGCAAAGTAGCTCTCTGTTCTGTGTAAAGCAAAATCAGCCACTTTATTCTGAAATTTAAACTGTTAGTTGGAACAGAGTAATTTCTTGCCATATTTATACATAACAAAAATGTTAAAACAATGCAGTTTTCCTTAAAGAAAAGAAAGACAATAATGGGGGAAAGCAGGAGAAAAGGTTTCTAAATCGGCACTTCTCAAGAAATTATACGTATGATTTACTTATTAATGCTCCCGCTTTTGATAATTTTCAGCTAGAAGCTCTCAGGAGTAGGATCGCTCTCAGTCTTTCTTCCTCCTCCTTCTTGCTGACAATTAGCACTACTCAGTCTACAAAGCATCGGCAGCATTAAGTGACTCAGCCATGTGACACGTGCTCTATCAGTCCATCTAGGCGTGATTTAAGAAAGAAGCAAGTACAAGTTTTTGTGCTGTGGGAAGACAGCTCTTTCAATTTGATAAAAATAAAACATTCCATCCAACCACACACAGAAGGAAGTGACTTCCTATAGCTGACCACTTAAGCTGCCGCCCTCGTAATTGTCCATGTATTTTGTTTCTTTCCAGCAGGTCAAAAAAGCGTTTTTCCTTTTAGTTCACATATAATTTGAAAGACCTCATAGTCTGCGTTTAAGGTGTATTTTCCAAAAACCAATTCACATAAAGCTTGTGGGTACTTGCCTCGTTCAGTCTGTGGCCTCTAAGTACAGAGAGTCCTGCTCCCACTGGGAAAGCCATTGAGCACACTCCGGCTGGAGAGCAGAGCACTTCCCTCATTCTTTCTCTGCTGAGCCAAGTATTGTGCAGCCTATGTTCCATATCAGGAGGGGCTTAGAAATAAGCTGCAAAGACACAGGAGACTTTGTTGTTTAGGAAGTTATACGTTATGTATAGGGGATACTTTATACATGAAGAGAGTAAACTATCCTTCTTGTTACACTGTGAAGCTGTTTCCAGTAGTGCTGACCTCAACCATGTGTCAGAAATTTCCTTGACCCCTCACTGAGCTCCAGTTACCCAAACTCTTTCTCCTCTGAACATGTAAGGAATGTGCCTTATGGTGGTGTTCTTCATTCTTTACTTTCTTTCCAGTAAATGAATCTAATTTAATATTTTAAATAGAGGTTCTGAGTTACTTTATTTACGAAATGAGTCCTAAGGAACATTCCCCAGACATGTCCCTTTTTTTTCCTGAGTGAATGCAGAGGTCTGCTGACACTTGTTAGGTGTGGATGTCTTTGGAGGTGACTATTTAAAATGTCAGCGGATACTAAACACCACTGACAGTTTCAAAGTTTAGTAAAATAGCCAACACATTCACAACAGCAGTACCACCCTCCCACCCCTCCTGAGGGGAACCAAGAACTGCATAAAACACAGTCTAAGTGTCTTCTGATAATCTAGTCTAACAAATACCATGTATGCAGTATGTTTCAACTTCAAAGTGATCTAGTTAATGAATCCTTAAATTTCACTCTGGCAGCAACTCAGAAAGCTGGAGCTCTGTAACACTGAGTTGATTATAGAGTTATCTTCTCTATTTTTAATGAGACATATACTAACACTGGGAGCTTACTGCAGAATCAGCGCCCTGGGAACCATCTGCAGGCCATGTGCTTGTACTAAATAGAAGGGGAAACATGGAACAAATCTGTATTGCTGTAACTGTTCGTTGCATGTCTTACAGTGGTAACTGCAGAGAACTTAGCAGGAGTCAGATGTTAGCCTAATCTGTGCTGTCAGGTTACCTGCATTTGGGTGACACGGAGGGGCTACACAATACAAAGCAGGTTAATTAGAAGTCAGACATCCACTGAAGCAGGCTCTGCCCGACTCCTTGGCTCTGAGTGATTACTGAACAACAAACATGTCGAACTGGGATTCATGCCCCACTATACAAACCACTACACCAAAAGAAGAGATAGCTTTGCAGCATTTAGAATCTGCTCCACAGATCTATTTACATTTTCAGTATATGCTTTTTCTCCTCTGTTTCAGGATGACTTGGTAAACATTTTTCTGCATAATAATCTGATTTACGATTTTACTTCCAACATTCTTCGGTTTAGTATCTATTTGATGTTTTGTCGGAAGTTATCCAGACAAGAAAGAAGTCCCAATGTTTGAATCATTTTACCTGGAATACCAGAAGCAATGGGATAATCAAGGAGAGATGAGAAACACGATGTGCACTTACAATAGGGGAAAAAATGCTATCTGCTACAGTGTCAGCAATTCCCATCTTGCTAGTATGTACAATTTGCTAATGAAAGGGGTTGAAAAAACAAAGGATTCTGTCATCTGGCACCAATGCCCAAAGCAACAAGTTCATAGACCTGACTGGCTCCCCAGGGCACTAGCATTTCTGAAATACCAATTAAAAATATTAGTGAATTACAAGATTTTAAATACTTTGATTCTAAATGTAAGAAATTCTGAGTAAATTAAAGCTTCATGTGGAATCTGCTCAGGACTTGAAGCTTTCTTTGGAATCTGATCACGATTTATAGTTTGGATTATTTCCTCCCACTGGATTTGGCAGGGCTGTACTTGTGTAATAGCATATTAGACTATTTAGATCTTAAATGAATCAACTTCCTGTAGATACTTACACTGTAACATAAGTTGGGTATGTGCAGTGCAGCATTAAAGTAACGCTTTGAAGTGGTCTGCTGTGTGCTGAACTGCATCTTCCGCACTGCTTTATGAAGACCTATGAACTCAGGAAACACAATCTGTAAAAATCTACTGCTATAAAATTACTTATCTGTTGTATCCTGTACAAGCAATCTTAAGTGTCTAGTCATAGTAAAAAGTTAGTTGCAGCCAGAGTATTCAGATAAATGAGGTTGAATTAAATCTCTGAACAGTGTCCAGCTCTCTCATGAGAGCTTCCTTTCTAGAAAAAGACCCTGAAGCAGGGCTAGAGACATGTAAGTAGATACAGCTGGAAAAGGGGAGAGAGGGTGACACACTATCTCCATCAGCCAACACATCTGCCCAGAAGCTTATGCAATGTGTGTCATCTGCATAGTTTCAGAGTGTTCTCTCTGGAGAACTCTTACTGTAATGCTTCTTGCTGGCAGGGAGAGTTGAAAGGTTGAGAGATGTTGGTTAAGAGGTTAGCAGTTGGACTTGATGATCTTTTCCAACCTAAACGATTCTATGACCCTATGCCCTATTTGCCACAAGATTGCATGAGGAAATAGGTACTTCAAGGTCAGATTGAACGTGAATGCCAAGGAATCTGTGAACATTGTGAC